CCAAATCTGCTGGTAAAAAATAAATAAATAAAACTGTTGAAGATGGGTATAGCATAGGTAAGAACTTCCTGAACGGAATTGCAATTGCAAGAAATAATCCAAAGAATCAACAAATGGGTTATATAAAATTGAAAAGCTCTACACAGCAAAAAATAGTGAAGAGACAAGAGTAAAAAAACAACTTATAGCATGGTAAAATATTTTTACCAGCTACTCCTCAGACAGAGGATTAATATCTAGAATATATAAAGAACTAAAAAAAGTAGATCCCCAAAATAAAGACCCAATCAAAAATGGGAAATGCAAATGAATAGATACTTCTTAGGAGAAGTACAAATATCCAATAAGTACATGAAACAATGTTCAGCAACTTTGGCCATTAGAGAAATGCAAATCAAAAACAGATTTTACTATAAGAATGGTTATTATTAAGGAATCAAAAAAGTAACAAATGCTGATGAGGTTGTAGACAAAAAGAAACCCTTCTGCAGTGTTTGTTGGAATGCAAACTAGTACCATCACTAAGGAAATCAGTGTGAAGATTCCTCAATAAACTAAAAACAGAAATCCCACTTGAATCAGCTATACTTCTCTTATCTTCCTAAAAAAATTAAAGTCATCACATTACAGAGATATAGCCATGCCCATGTTTATAGCAACAGAACTCACAATAGCTAAATCAGGGCTGTGGCCTATATGTCGATCAACAGATGAATGAATAAATAAAATGTGATATTATATATAGGAGTACTACTCAGCCATAAAGAAAAACAAACCTGATTCATTTATTGGAAAATGGATGCACCTTGAGACCATAATACGAAGTGAAATAATTTAGTTACAGAGGTTGAATATTGCATGATTTCTCTAACTGAGAGACCCAAAATATAAATAATTTAAAGAGCAAAATAAAAGAGACATATTAAGAAACACAGGGGTAGACTCTGTTGAGATGTGATGGGGGACTGGAGAAGGAGGGAGATGAGAGAATAGGCAGAGGGAGTAAAAATAATCACGACATGATATGTACTATATATGTATCATTCTTCCAAACTAAATGTGATCATTATTTACTGGAAATATACACAAATAAAATTTTTCTTTTGAGACAGGGTCTCACTATGTAATTCAGGTTGGCCTTAAACTCATTATGTAGTCCAGCGTAGCCTCAAATTCAAGGCAATCCTTCTGCCTTGGCCTCCAGAGTGCTGGGATTCCAGGCGTGATACATCACGCCCAGCTCAATTTTTTAGAATGAAATAAATTCTGGTATTCCCTTGTATAGTAGGATAACCACAGATAACATTAAGGTAATATGTATTTCATAAAACCTGTGAGGATTATGAAAGGTTTCACCATAAAAGAAATAATAAATATTTGAGATAGGTATTTTATCAATTTCAACTTTACACAATATATTGACTTACATGGTATCCCATAAATATGTACAATTTTAATGAGTCCATTAAAATTAATTTAACAAAGAGAAACTAAGGAAAATTAAGGGGATTTTGTTATTTTCTCAAAATTTACTTCCAGTTGCTTATGGTTTTCATTCTGCCAATGTTAAATACAGCACCCTGCAAATTTTCAGTAACAAAAATTAATATCAAGGGCTATTACATGCAGCTTAAATTAGAAAGAAGTTAATATACACTAGAGAGGGACTGGGCATTTGAGGGAGTTGGTACAGAAGACAGAGCACATCAGAACTGTGGCTGGACCAATGTGGGGAGGGCAAGCCCTCACAATAAAGCCACAGTGGCAATACCTGCATACTTCGCTAATGGACAAAGAGAAACTTAAGGTTATACTGTAATTGCTATCACCCAGTCCATTAAGTCCAGGTATGCATCAGACATCTGGGTGGGTGACCAGAACACCTGAACCCAACCTTCCCAAAATATTCCTGTTTTAGAAGTCATAGATAAGCCAAGGTTAATGATATCAATCATGTACCCTTGCTACATGCCCGCTTTCCTACTTCATCAATATTAGCTAAGTGGCTATACTTGTAATCTTATTGGTTGATTATAGTTTCACTTGAACTCACATTTGTGACTTTGCTGTATAAACAACTCCTGACACAGGGTCTCAGTGGCAACTCACTTGGGAGCTATTCGTATTCCCCAATAAACCTTTACTACTCTTAACTTCCTCTGTCCTTCACAATTCATTCTTCAATTTCAGGGGACAAAAACTCAGCACATTTGACATCTAGCAGCTTGGGAGCTATATTTCTTCTATATCAATAGTAGACGGGAAAAAAAAGGAACAGGGATGTGTTATGTACATGTACCAACTCCCACAAGGAATGTAA